TCGCAGCCCTTCCTCTCAGCTGTCACAGGAGTTCTAGCACAGAGCTGTGCTAAAACTCCTGTATTAGAGGTGACAGGTTCAATAAAGAGAACCTGTCACCTCCAAATGCTATCACACAGGGGCTTGTTAACTAGCTTCTGTGTAATAGCAATAAAGTTAAGTGAAAAAATGTAAAAATGAAATAAATAAATAAATACACATTGATAAAAAATTATAAAATAAATAAACATTTATGAAAAAATAAGTAAAAAATATTAATTAAAATCATAAAAAGTAAAAGATAGTAAGATTAAAAAAAATTAATTAACAAATAATTAGAAAAAAAATTATAACAAATAAAAAAGTTAAAGATAATCAGATAAATAAAAATTAAAAAAAGTAAAAAAATAAATACAAATTAAAAAAAAGGATTTTTGCCTGTGTAGGCAAAAATCCTTGCACCGGCCCTGATCTTATCTGTAAACTGTAAACGGAAAAGACATCCCCCCCAGGCATGATGTTCATGGTCAACTGTCCTAGTCACATATGCTAGAGTTCCAGGAAGTAAAGTGAGATGTAAAAATGGCCACTGTGAGAAGAATGGGGAGGAAAAGAAAAATAAGGGATGCAAAGATTTAAAAAAAATGCAATTATCTAGAAGTATGTGTTTGTAGATTGCCATTAGTAAACATTTTCTAAAAGGTGCCTTTGTTGTTTTTTTTAAAGATAAGGGTAAAGTTCCTTTAGGAACCAGGTGGTTTGGCAACCTTAAAGCGGACATAATCTCAAAAAAATAAAAAGTGGCTGGCAGGTAAGGTTTTTTTGTCACAGAAGAGACATGCACAGTCTTTGTGTGCCAGTGGAGATGACGGCAGCAGGGAGGCACAGTACTCACCACACAATGCTGGAAAAGGGCTAAGATAAGTATGCCATAATGTGCAAGTAGGGCCGCATTTACTCTCCTTGCCGCCCCAAGGCCAGGTTCCACAATACAAACACCCCGCGCGCGCCGCCCACCCCCCGTCCTTATCAATTGTGAATGACAACCAGATGGCAGGGCGGCGGGGTTAGTTTCAATTTTTGTTTTTTACCGTTTCTTTATTTTTATTACTTTTTATTTTTTTATTCAATTATTTCTTCTTATTTTTTTAAATTTGTATTTGTTAAATTATTTTTTAATCAATTTACTCGGTAATTTTTCCTTAATATAGTAAAAAAATAAAACCCCCAGTGGTGAATAAATACCACCAAAAGAAAGCTCTATCTGTCCCCAAAAAAGGGTATAAAATTCATTTCAGTACAGCGCTGCATGACGGAATAAATGTCAGTTAAAGTACCGCAGCGCTGAATACTGAAAAATGGCCTGGATGGGAAGGGGGTTTAACACCGCGGATGTCAACTGGTACAACTGTTCCTGGGGCCTTAGTTATTGGCTAAGTCATGTCAATGACCATTCCAGTGTTTAGTAATTGCCATAGTAACTAGTAAGGACACTCTTATTGGATTGGGAAAAAGCAGTTGGCACTTATAAATGAAGTCAAGGCAAATCAGTATACCCAATTAAACTCTTACATTTTTTTCTTGGTATTGTCCTGCTTCATCACTGATTTTTACTTGTAATGCTTTCAAATGCCCTTTTCTCTGAGTAGAAATGCACTCTCTTCCCTTGCACATATAGTAGTATTAAACCCTCAAACTTTTTTTCAAAAATGAATCCAGATGAAACAAATATACATTGCCCAGCAAATAATTTTTTTGCCCAAGCACTTAGCCCGCATTCACACTTGTGTGTTCCGTGAATGTGTATCAATTTTGCGTGCACTCATGCATGTTCATATGCTTTCACAAGTCAGATTACTAAAGTCTACAGTCATATTTAGAAACACTGTACAACCGCTGTAACAGACAAATTTGAGGGAACACTATTAAAATGGAGATTGTTAATGTCTGTTTCTGTTGCTTAATTTGGGCTTTAAGCCACATCATATAAGCTCTCTCCACTCCTTCATCTGCTACTAATTCCATGTTTGCTCATGTTACATGGGGCCTCCTCACATATTAAGTAGTTATATGGAAAAGAACTGTGTTTTCTCATTCAATTCAGCTTTGTCCCGTCATTCAAGTCATGTTTGTTTACAGTGCTTAATAAAGGCATTAAAACCAAAATGTTGAGCCCATATAATCACATTTGCTGCATAGGTTGGGTTTCTTGCTTGGGTTGTCAGGGAGATCTTTTTACAGTGTGCACCTTGAATAAGGAGTAGATGTGAGTTAAAGTGGTGCTGATCCTGACTTGACTTTACAGTATATTACTGTGCTTTGAACATTAGGATAAACCGTTGGGATTGGACTCCCTGGTAAGCACTAGGGACTTCTTTATGGTCCAAAACATTCAGATAGGGATCAGGTTCCTTGGGACCATCTTTGGACCAATTTACTTTTCCTGTTCTATTATATCAAGACAAGCTTGTTGTTCCTAGTGCCCAGTGGCGTCTTCCTGTCTAGGATTATTAGTTATCTCCAGCTGGGGCCCTAAGTGGGTTCAGTTAACATAATATTGACTAGATATTGATCAGGCACACAGAAGGGATAGGCTGACATTGAGTAATGGCACAAGGAGACGTCAAATGGATGGCAGACAAGGGACATACAGAATTTTGCAAACGTGTTCAGACTTTTGTCAAATGCTCACACCCTATAGTAAAAATAGGTTTGGTAGGGATATGTTTCACCTGCACAAATGCAGTGCCCCTTCACAAGTCCATGATCTCTTCCTCCATTTTGTCTGCCCATTCATTTAGCTCTCTCCTTTGATGCTCTCCACTCTCTGAAATAGCTGAATTCAATTCAGTTGGGCTCCCAATCCCGCCCAAATAGGAGCATAGTATGTAAAATACTTGAATTAAATGTTGTTTTTTAAATACTAAAAATAATTTCAATCCCTGCTGGGCCATATTTAAAGAGCAGCAAAATGGATGTGATCTGTTTGTATTTCCGGACCTGGCTAGAGCCAGGGGTAACTGGATGTAAACAGATGCCCATCCATATAGATCCGGCTGCCCATAGGCTAAGGCCCCCTTTTACACGGGCAATCCGATCATGTCTGGCTGTCAGTTTTTTGTGCAGACCTGATCGGAAGTCCTAAGTTAGTCTAGGGGCAGCCGGATCTAAATGGACAGGCGTCTGTTTACATCCAGTTACCCCTATCTCCGGCCAGGTCCGGAAAACAAATGGATCAGAGTTCCGTTTCTCAGGACCTGATTGTGCTGGATCGGAGGTAATCTAATGTAAACGGACACATGTAAACGGTGACATCCGTTCTGATCAGGAGGGGATCTGTGCACGGATCCCTTACTGATTGGAATTGAAGGCACCCATGTGAAAGGGGCCTAACATCGGGCTTCCCTGATCAGAATGCTTGTGTTAAAGGGTCCTTAAATCTAAATGAGGTCACAGGGAAATCTATAGCGTACCCTATGCAGTCAAAACCAGTCCTCTGCCAGGAATCCCAGTCATTCCCTACACTGGTACACTGCTAGAACAGCTATCTCTATATTGCTGTTTGTATACCTAGTACTTTAAAATCATTTTATTTTAACCATAATAAGGCTGGTGGTTTTTGGAATATAAAAAAAAGCTGTTTTCTTTATTGAGCTTTCTTATATGAAGATAAACTTTTTATATTCAATTATATCTCTTTAAATTCCAGTTCATAATTGGATCACCTATCCCGGATCAAAAATATTTTTCAGCATTTCAGCAGAAGCTTGTAATGCTCATGCATGTCAGCCCTCTACAATTTGGCAGCAGTGTTCAATGCAAGTGTAAGCATTGCTATATTACAAAGGATGTGCACAGTTCAAAAAAATATATCTATTCTAAGCTGTTACATTGTATATGCTAGAAGTGCACAGGACTCAACAGATTCCCTGCCTGGGTTGTAATTCACCGTATTGTAGAAGACAGGGGCCAGATTAGTGAAGGGGACAAGGCCATAATTTATTTAAAAGCTACAACCATAACAGGTAGGGCAGGGGACAAAACTGTGCAGTTACATGTTTCCATTCCCTGGTTGTCTGCCACCATGTTGGAGAGGGCAGAAGACAGAGCAGCTGGTTTATATCTGTAATTCCCATATAGATATTTACAGCCAATTTTGTAAATACTAGCTGTAATTAAAAAACACAACATACACTAAAATTTGGTTCTCCCTGGTATTTGTATTTCAAAGCTTTGGAACTCAAAACACTTTTATTACCGTGTTAATTTTTTTGTCAGAAAAATATCTTACAAAGCAAAATGTTCTGTTCCAGTGTTCTGA